TTTTTTGTTTGGGCAATAAATAATATCCGCGCTACTTTTTGGCACAAAAGCGATTCCTTCCGCAATACTAGCTGTTCAATACAGTGTACTAGTGTGCGAACTTCTTGGCATAGAACAAAAATAACTCAGAAATGGAAACAAACACAGTAACCTGCACACAGGGGCAATCAATGTAGTAGTCTCTACCATACACACACGCACAAAGCGGGACACTTAACTGCAAGTGGTCAACTCTCTTGCAGAAACCGAGAGACGGGCCTCACGTAACTGAACCCTTTAAAGAGGTTATCACCATCCGGGCTACAGGCCGGCGAGTCGAGCAATGGCGTTTTAGTCCACCGCTCGTCAAAGTTGGCCACACACAGTTGGCTCGCTACTTGAGGAAGAAAGCTCGGGCAAATTTCACGGGCCTCAAGTTTCTTCCAGTTGACCGACTTGAACCACTTGTGGCCCTTTAATTCCTCAGAGCCTCTTGGACCACTTCCGAGGCGTTTGTTTGCCTCCTTCTGGAGAAGCTGAAGTATAAATTAAAATGAGAAAATGATGAGTCCTTATGTCTAACAGGAGGGTGATACAAACTTTGCAATTGCCTTCATATTTATAATTGAAAAAGAAAAGATAGGGAATAGGAGAGACACAACAATATTTGGAATAACATGGAAAAATGATGGAAATTCAAGGAATCAGGCACTTGAATTTTTCAGGTGGAAATGCAGTCTCTTTTACAGGAAAATATCAACTCATGGTTGAAATCCAAGATTTTCGGTATTAAAACTTTTCAGCTTAAAAGTTTTGGCAAAGGTATATTTGAAACCCACAATACATCAACTCATTGCCTTTAAACTCCAGATCTTTGGTGTTAAAACTTTTGGCTTAAAACATTTGGAGAAGGTATTTAAGAAAACCCACAATACATCAACTCAAGAAATCAGCTCCCCAACCTATGAAATCATTGCTATCCTCCAATGTTTAGACTCAAACATCCACAAGTTTCATACAAGTTTATCCCAACAACTTTAGAAGTTAAGGAAAAACAAATATTTCAATTGCACAACAAAAATAGGTTGCTTGCAAACCATGAATATGACGGGTGAACTAGAAGTAATTTACCCCTTTAATCAGAAAATGTGCATCACTAGACAAAAATGTTGGCAGCTTGATTTTGTTCTTGAGTATCTTCTGCTGGATTTTCTGACGATTTCCCCCAACAAATGGAGGCTGCAAATGTTACACGTAAGACGTTAACTTTTGCTAAATTTACGAAGAACTGGGTAGAGAATCCTTATAGTGCAAGAAAACCTATCAATTACTGCATTGTTAACCTTCGAGTCTTGGTTAGACCCATTACAGCAGAAGGCCTAATGGGGGATGGAATTCCTTAATATCATGACCAATATAATTCACCTCTTTTTTGAAGAGTAAACAACATTCAAGAGGGTGGGTTTGAAATACAATGCATGTCAAAATTCTTAATAGAAAAAAACTTGAGATTCTAAATTTAGCCTGACTACCAATAAAAAATCTAGTCATCTTCCAAAAAGTTTTTCATGGTATGTATTTGCATAAGTTAATTTCATAACAGAAAGCATTCTCTAAGTTAGAGTCCATTGCAAATGGAGCTAGAAGAGTCAATGTTGACAATTCTTCTGGCATCGTGCAAATAATGGACTAGATCAAAATGGCTCAATTAAATTCTAGTGCTTCTTCTATTAGTGAAGTTTCTAGAAAAAATATATCAAACGACGCAACGCACCTTGGGTCGCTTTGGAAACAGCCTCCTTGTATAATTACAAGGATAAGGTCTGCGTACAACTGACCCCCAGACCCCAACCTGTTTGGGAATATACTGGGTATGTTGATGTTGAAACCATTCTTTAAGTTGTAATTTGAGAATAACAACTGATTTTATTCATTTATCCAGGAACAGGTTTTTTCTTCTTCTTAAATGAAATGAACCTCATCGAACTTTGAATAATTATTGTGTACCAATGGCCAAAATATAACCTTTCCTGTCAACATCTCGTATAAAAGAATCCCCACACTCCACCAATCTGCCGCCTTGTCATGGCCTTTTCCAAGAATAATTTCAGGAGCCATGTACTCAAGAGTTCCACACATTGAGTTAGACTTAGTTTCCTCATCAAATTGCTTTGCAAGACCAAAATCCGTTAGCATTGCCTGCAATCGACGGACATAAAAGAGGTAAAAATGGAATGCTATAAAGAAACATACAATAAGTAAATGATTGAGAACCTGACCAAAGCAGTGTAATCACACATATAAAGATAAGACTGGATTCAAATTCATATACAAATATGACTAACGAGCATTCAGATATTAATCAGAGAGGATAAAAGAAACAGAGAGAGAGAGAGAGAGAGAGAGAGAGAGAGAGAGAGAGAGAAGCCGATATCTTACATGCCCCTCTGCATCAAGCAGAATATTCTCAGGTTTCAAATCCCTATGCATAATGCCATGAGCATGGAGATGAGAAACAGCAGAAACAATCTCAGCAGCATATATACGAGCCAACTCCTCTCTGTAAAAAAAAGTAAATGTAAGATACCAAATCACAGCATAAGTGAAGTTGTACGATTACAAACAACTCATACCTGAACAGGCCATGATGATGATACAGTTGAAAGAAAAGATGACCACCATTAACAAAATCAAGCACGAGGTACAATCTATATTTTGTCTGCACAACATAAATATTTCAAATAAGAAGCAAGCTACATAAGCAAGGACTTTTGACAGTGAAGAATTTGTAAATTACAGATATCACTCCCGACACCTGAGTGGTAACATAATTGCAAAGAGGCCAATTATTTTCCATGATTACAAATGTTCCCTACCTATACAATGCCACCTTGTGGTCCATATTTGCTACTTTCTAAACAAATAGTCCCATTATTGTTTTGTGATGAAGCCGGCGTTCCCAGTGCTGAATGATAGTCGGGTTATCATGTAATCAAACAGAACCTCATGGGGTTTTCTTACTTTTGGTTATTATTTAGCTCATAGAAAATAAAAAATAACACATAATCTTCCAAAAGAAACCATATCTGAAGAATATTGTATCTCCGTATCTCAAACATGAAAATCAGTATAACGAAAAACACATACAGAGAACTAAGTACCTGAAAAGAGTATCTAAGCTGCACAATGAAAGGATGGTTGATCTTCGTCAATATATCCCTCTCTGCCTTCATGTACTCTGCATGATTTTTCTCCATAATTTTATCTTTCCTCATAACCTTCATCGCGAATATCTCGGATGAACCAGTTTTTCTCACTTGGTATACTTTACCAAATGCACCTTGTCCCACAAGCTTTAAAAACTCAAAATCCTCGAGCCCAATTGTGTTCTCCAAGCCACCCTCGACCTTAATATTATATTTATCCAAAATAATTTTCTCAGACAAATATTCAGAAACATTCTCTTGGACTAAATCTGCTTTCTCCCGCAGTGTAAGCTTGGCCAATTGGTTCACACTCGAAGGACCGACATATGAGTGTGAACGTGTGTATATTACGGCTGGTACATCATAAATCAAATCATGTGCATCATTAAATGAAACGACATCCGTTGAATCTTCAGATATCTGAGGTAAAGTCGGCAACGGACCAAACACGTCTGAGAAATCCAAGTCGACGTGCTCAAGTTGTGTACCATCAGGGGCCTCAGCCGAAAGAAGAACATGGTTTTGGAAAGATTTTAGCAAGTTGGCCCCGTTCAATTTTGAAAATTGAGACGAGACCATGATTTCCAAGGCAGATTGAATTATAATAGGTTTATGAGATGGACGCTCAAAGAGACTAAAGCAGGCCCGAGGATAGACACCTCACACTAGCCTCAAACAACAGGAAACTCAAGAAAACAATAGGGTGAGGGAGAAAGCAGCACAAAATCAAGATAAGAATCTTGTTTCCCAGTTGGCAGGAAACGGATGGTACAACAGAGCTTCTTGAATTCATGAAGATCAGGCGATTGGCTGAAATTTGGTGAATATAAGAATGTCAGGGAACCCATACATGACATAAGCATCAAATATGAACTAGAAATTAAAACTAAAGATGACAGACAGAACAATTCGAAACAAATATTGCATTATATTCAGATAAAAAGTGACAATGAGATATGGATTAAATGAAACATCAAGTGACGACAGATGTGGAAACTTCGATATAGCGTTATTCTCAACTAACTATGCATATGTCTGCAAAACATACTGTTAGATATTCCCGAGTCATTTTTATGTTTCACAGCAAATAAAAAGGCGCATCTATAAAGGCTTACAAATAAAGGAAGCGCAGGGAAAATGTCTTAAATAACGAGGCAGGTATTGACAATACCCTAAATCATAAGTAAATTCCATACTTAATATTATAAAGTAGATATTTTTCTAGGTGAGCCTACTAAACTATATATCGCAGAACACATGCGCGTCGCTGCGCAACGGGAGGCACGCAGAGCGTCGTGCATGTTCCGTCACAGACTGAGCATGGGCACCAGGGCGCAAAGATGCCAACAACCCCCAGACTCTCATGAAAAGGAAAAACCTACACTCCAAGGGCTTTTCTCTCATATTCATCAAGCACATTCGGATACAATGCAAAGACTGTACGATAAACATAAATTTGGATCTTACGAATCACTAAGCTTGGAAGTTGAGATTCATTTTCGAAAGTCATCCTATTTCTCGCATTCCAAATGAAGTAACCGGTTGTCGCGAGCGCCGCTCTATTCAACTTGGTTTGCCAACTAGCCTCTCGAGCCTCCTTCTTAGTCCATTTAAGAGCGCCCCTTTAAGTGTCAATGGCCTATGACGGAGGCTAACCCAAGCACAAATCGGGCCCAAAATTTCCGAGCTAAATAGGCACTAGAAAAACATGAGACCCGATGATTCCATAGCACCACCACAAAGGGAGCAAGTCTGGTCTGCATCGAGGAACTCTAACCGGTCCTTAGTATGGAAACAATTGAGCACTCCCAACCCGATGTTTAAACCTGTTTTCTGTTCTTCCTAGTCGTGATAATGTTTTTTTTCCTTTCATGTTTTTGAATTTCATAGCTGCAGGCTTTCCTTATAAGCTGCAGGTTTGCATGATGAAACAGTTATGATGAAATAACATATTTTTGGGCAGATATTTTGTGGGAGAATTTTTCTCTTAATTCCTTGCTTTCTTCAGTTCTTAAACAATATCGCACCAAGTGAACCCCTGTCTCTCACACACACTGCACACAGTTCTGGAGCATATAATTTCATACACACGGGTGATACGAGTGAATAGCTTCAAACATAATGCTAAAAATCTACGAATTTCCATAAACATATACATTCTAATTATATGTGAACAGTTGAAAAACAGTTAAGAACCTGTGACTGAATTGGAATCTTCACAGAATCCACATCACACCCTAACAATAAAATGCCAGATCAGCAGAATTCAGATCCAAGTAGTTGAATGAACTACGTGGACGTTGAAATTCTGAACATTTCATTTCTTTCAAAAAAAGCTTTCAAAAGAATAAAAAAAAAA